TACACGACTTTTAAATCAAGAATCTCACACTAATCTACAATACTTTAAATTCCCGACTTTTCCAGTTTAAAATGATCTAATGGTAACACGACTAACATTAGCGGAGATAACAATAAATTGTCCACAAGAAAAAATAAAAACACATTTGTTGATCTAGTTTCTAAATAAAGATAATTTGCATGTTACAAATCAAAGCCCCATCAAGTAGGTAGAACGCCTGCCTTTTTTAAACAAGACCCAGGACTTTCCTGAAGATGACAGAAGACTGAAAGTCAAAATTTATGTGATATTACAGGGTTCGTACAACATTACAGATCCAAAATTCAAGGACTTCATGACAATTTCAAGTTACTATACACCTGTACGTCTTTCAAAGAAGGTCCCCATGAATCATGTTCAGGTAACAAATAAGGGTCATCTTTACATGATATATTGCCCTAAAATTACTAGGATAAAAATTCAAGGGCTATTAAGGTAATGAACAAACACTGCAATTCGCATTTAGTTGTTAAAAAATAAATAAAAATAATAAATCAGTAATTAGATTTTAATTGATTATATAAACTATTCCATGACAATGATTGATATTCGATCATTATTCAACTATTGTAGAAAAAAAAAAAGTTCATACTGAAATATAATGATAGAATGACATAATCTCGGAAAAATTTATTTACTCGCCGTTTCGGTTTCCTTTACATAAAGTATATGCTTATACATCAATAAAACTTGACACATATTACTTGACATTTTTAAATAACATCCACTTCCTACCAATATAGAAACAGAAAAAAAATAATTTTAGATTACATGAATAAGCAAATCATTTTCTACTCAGTTAAATAACTACTCGTCTCCATCCAATATAACCCAGAAATAACTCCAACAAATTAAGCATATAATTTTAAGTCGGATTAAATGTTATGGTTTTCTGGTGTTAGCTACAGATGTATATGAAATGAAAATTTTATAACAACTAGAAAAAAATTTGATACATGAAAAGAATTAATGAATATTCTATAAATACAAGGGCGCCACAACCAGCGAGGCAGTTGCCCCACCAATAATTTGGCCAGTGAAGTTTTTAAAAACTCCTTTTTAATATTTTCGTTACAGTACGTTGTTAGGCCCCATTAGTATTACCCGAAGGTAAAGTATTGCTACTGTTAACATTAGTTTTAAGCAGTAGCGATGTAGCTAATCCTTGATAATTTGTGTTGTGTGCTCACAGCAGGCCAATTATTACATACGTACAATGAACTTAACATATCTAGGAACTGTATAAACGGACATATAATACTTGTATATCTATGTGTAAAAACATAGCAAAAATCGTTTCCTTTCCTCGATTCATCTTCATTGGTTGGTAACAATCTACTGCTAGACGCTTTTAATTTTGTATCATGCTGTTTTTTTTGTTTTCGGTGTGTCAATTACCTCTTGTAACGCAAGTGAAATTAATATTAAAAACGTAATACTTCTGTAAATTAATATGTCATTTCTATCTTTTATTGTATTCAACTAAACTAAAAACACCAGAACGTTAAAAGTGCACAATATATATTTTTTAAAAACGGCACCAGGTTCGTATCTTCTCATCATTGTGGAATTTCTAGTTTATTTAATTTATGTACAAGCACCATTGTCTTCATATTCTATTGTTTGTTTGAATTTATGCACAAAGGTAAACAATGGGCTATCTGTGCTCTG